GTGTCCAGCAGGCACCCATGGCTTGGTGAAGACTTGAGGCTTATCCTGGTGCATAAGGCATCCAGCCAGGGCTGGGGATGTGGCTCGGGACCTCCAGTGCCTTTCTGGAGCAGCACCTGGAAGCTGGGCAGGCCTCCCCAGGGTGGCTGGAGCCAGCCCACAGCACAGCTCTCCCAAGCCAGGCACCAAAACATAAGCCCCTTCAGCCCAAATATACACTTACCTCCTGCCACCAGTGAGTCATTGCTTTCTTTGCATGCTCATGCCTACAATTTGCACATGCCATAATCCCATGACACAAGTATCTCTCCGTTGTCTTGCTGTCAGCCAGCCCAGCTTGCCTGTGCTGCTTTCATTACCTGCCACAGAGGGCAAAAAGAGGCTTAAATCCCCCCTCACATACAAACAAACCCCACCTCCCCACCACCCAGTTAAACACCAGCATATACCTCATCCCAGTGCACGGCCAAAGGCAGCTCCTGCAGCCCTGGGTCAGGCACACAAAGGGAGGCACTGGGGAAGCAGCCCCCTGCAGAGCTCTAGCAGGGGCTCAGGAACCTCTCCATTCACCTGCCCCTCTGCCGCAAAGGGGTCAGGAGCAGCTCCACCTCCACCAGCATGGCCAGGGGCATGGGGGCAAGGCTGGGGTGCCCTTGGGCTCAGGGGACATCTCATTAAGGGAGGTAAGAAGGAATCAAAGAGCAAAAATAACCAGGTCCTGAGCAGGAGGAAAGGGAGGTGGGAAGTGATGCATCCTCCCAGGCCGATTCATGCTCCCCATCCCTGGGTGCAGGTGGAAGGAGACCCTGTCTGCAGCAGGGCAGATGGGATCGCCTCCCAATCACCCCCAGGTGCTTCACGGTCAATTAGGGGCGAGAGGGGAGGAAGGGAGAGGGGTTAAAGATTAGGCAAAGGGCCAGGCCAGGGACCCAGCGGGGAGCTGCTCTGCCCATCTATATCATAGACACTAATTTGGTTTAATTCACTTCAAAGACCTTCCTGTAGCTGTGGCGTGCGCAGGGTTGGGGTCTATTCTTCTCAAAAGAGGTTTGAAAGGGGGCAGGGGCCTTTTCTCTTGAAAGCATCCCAGGGAGAGTGCTCTGGGATTGGATTTCTTTCTTGCTGCTTCTTTTACAAGGGCTGTCTCCAAAGGCAGATAAGAGGGAGCCCTGGGAAATGAAAGTGAAAAAAGCCTATATGAAAGGAAACACAACCGACAGGGACTGAAATGAAGCAGTTAAAGCACTGTAAAATAAAGCTTCTCCCCACTCAGTGCCTGCAGAGGGGCAATAAAACCATCCTGCAAAGATTCCCCCAGGAAAGCACACCTCTTAGGGAAAGTTAAAGATGTTGAATAATCCCCCAGGAAGCGAATAAACCAGGGATAACTCAGTGCTTTTAAGGCTTTCATCAGTCCAGGGAAAAGTGGCTTTTTAATGCTGGGAAGCTTAAGGAGAACGTAAACCCAAGCAAACAGCATGGGGCAGGATGACCCCTTAGCAGGCAGGAAGCAAAGTGGGAGGAGCAGGTACCAAAGTGCCACCACCAACCTGCTCCTTCCTATGATGTGGATGAGACAGAGCCCAGGAGCTGTGCTGGCTTCCAGCTCGTCTCTGAGCATCCTTTGAGCAATCACAGCTGTCCTTTCTCCATCCCTCTCCAGGGAAGGGGCAGCATCTCTTTGGGTGGAGGCAATGCAAGAGCTGAGGGGTGTGAAACCACACTGGGGACAGACCCTACAGGAGCATCCCCAGAGCTGCACCCTTTCAGCCCCAGGATAGTTCATCCTGGGCTGAAATCAGGTGTAGACACCCTAAACACTCCCGCAGCATCTCAGGCACCTCCTGACTTCAAGGCAGAGAACTTCAGTGCTTGTACATGCTAACTCAGTGCTCAGAGCTAAAGAGCTCTCTCCTGACCACTGATCAGCCCGTCCCTGCGAGGAGAGAGTGGAGCCAAGCAGAGGAAGCGCTCCATAAATCACTGCACAAAGAGGCTGTGCTCAGGGAAGCATTGATAATCATGTTAAATAATTACGAGGGGGGGGGGGGGGAAGTTGACCAAGTGAGAATAGGAGGGCTGGGGGGGTCAGCGCTGGGGGGCAGAGAGGGGGGAGAGGTTTGTGGGCAGGCTGGAGGATGAGGGCAGCACAGAGCTAGGAGGGCTCAGGGGATGGGAAATGTAGATTAGATCTTAGGCAGAAGCTCTTCCCTGTGAGGGTGCTGAGGCGCTGGCACAGGGTGCCCAGAGAAGCTGTGGCTGCCCCATCCCTGGCAGTGTTCAAGGCCAGGTTGGACACAGGGGCTTGGAGCAAGCTGCTCTAGTGGAAGGTGTCCCTGCCTGTGGCAGGGGTTGGAGCTGGATGAGCCTTAAGGTCCCTTCCAACCCAAACCAGTCTAGGATCCTATTAATCTATGGGTAGTGGATGCAAAACAAAGTGTTGCTAGACTCTGCTCCAAGCCCTGCATTGATCTAAATGCACACTCACTAAACCATACCCCAGCTCCAACACACCTGGGGAAAATTCATCCTTCAGCACCCCTTAGTGCTTGGCAGAGTTTGGCAGGGTTGGGCTATAGGGGGTGGCTTTTAAAGCCCAATTGCAGTACTGGTGCTGTTATAACATTTGTTTTAATTAACCCAACTACAAAGCAGTGATAAAGCCTGGAGGGGTACCCAGGAGGGGAGCAGGGCTGCAGGCTGTGTAAGGAGACCTGGCTATCACCCCTGCATCTTCAGAGCACCCAAGCCCAGCCCAAGCACCCTCAGCCTGCTCAGAGCTGCAGGGACACCCAACAGCTTTGCTGTATCCAGGACTGAGCTGCTCCTGCCTGCACCGGTTCGGAGCCTGGTCCTGCACATGGCCCTTGGAGCAGGGTTGGTGGCTCCAAGCTGGCTCTGGAGAGCCATAAGCAGAGAGAGAAAGGTGCTGTGAGCAGAACAGTCACTCCCAGGCACGGGCGTTCTTTATCCCCACCATAATCTTTCCAATTTACAAGGCAGTAAATGAAAGGGGAAGATGGGACTTGCTCAGCGCATTTTCCAGAAGTATTTACTGCCCAGAACACTAGAAAAGCCATTTAAACAATAGCTTTTATGATACAACACACATTAAAGAAACTTCCCTTTTTCACCCCTCTGCCACTCTGTCCCATACTGCTGCTGTTCCATTCAGCTAGCTGGTTTATGGGCTGCTGTGATTTTAATTGGGCTCTAGCCCCAGGGTGCAATGAAATTTTGGAGTCTCATTTAGCTCCAAGTGTGCTTACAGCTAATGGAGCAGAATGCTGGGTCCTGCCTCAATGTCTTCTATCACCCTTGTGAGCAGGGAAAGCCGTGCATGGGGAGCAGGGACGTGATGCGGGTGATGTGTCCCAGCCCGGGTGCTGGTGGTCCCCACTTCCATGTGGGTTCCAGGTGTAGAGGATGGTCACCGGGGCACGCAGAGGCCCGGGACGTTCAGGATGGTGTTTGGGAAGCGCTTTTCCACCCCGACCCGGCGCTCCCCTGCATCGGTCTTGCCCGGTGCCTGTTGTACCGCCTGCAGCCACCGGACGGCGGCCAAGGACCGTGATCGGGAGCGGGGCTCCCCGCTCGCCCCATGCCTGCCCGGTGGGACCAGACGGGGATGGGTTGACCAGATTAAAGCAAAAACGGTCAAAAGAGCTCGTCCTCGTCTTGCCCGGCCGCTCCACCAAAGCGCGGGGCACGTTTGCAATCACAGCTGAGCACCGGGTTAACGGAATCTGGTGTTTTCCAACCCAATGGAGTCATAGAATCACAGAATGGTTTGGGTTGGAAGGGACCTTAAATCATCCCGTTCCAACCCCCTGCCATGGGCAGGGACGTCTCACACTGAACCATACCATGGAGCATTCACAACTTCCTTGGGCACCCTGTGCCAGTGCCTCATCACCCTCACACTAAAGAACTTCTTCCTCAGATCTAACCTGAACTTCCCCTGTTTCAGTTTGAACCCATCACCCCTTGTCCTGTCACTACAGTACCTGATGAAGAGTCCCTCCCCAGCATCCTTATAGGCCCCCTTCAGGTATGGGAAGGCTGCTCTGAGGTCTCCATACAGCCTTCTCTTCTCCATGCTATGATTTGGTGCAGGGGACCCAGGGATATCAGCTCTGGTGCAGATGGGGGCAGCTCCCCTTCGGACCATCCCCAAAAGGGATTCAAAGCTTGGTGTTGTTTCCACTTCCAAAGTCATCTTGCACTGCATGGTTTCAAAAACACATCCAAGATGAACCTGAGTGGCCCAGGAGGTGTGAGACAGCTCCTGCTCCCTTCCTTTGGGATGTGGCTGCTCTGAGGGCTTTGGGATCTGCCCTGATGTTAATAACAGGCAGCCTTGCAAGAGCCATTGTGTTTCTGCCAACACCAGTTGCTCCATCAGCTCGGATAGTTAATAGCCAAATGAATGAGCAAACGGAAGCATCAAGGCTTCCGTGCCAGCCAGCCAGGCTGCACACGCTGTGCACAATGTGCTAATCCCCCCTGGCCGCAACTGCACCCCCAGGCTCTGGGTGCTTTGGCACACAGGACTGGAGAGCTTCTGCTGTCTGTGCTGCGGTGGCAGAGCCAGCAAGGTGTGTGTGTGTGTCCCCAGGAGAAGCGATGCTGACCTGAACCATCCCTGCTCCAGAGACTGGGAAGGGAAAGAGTGGTCCTGCCTGCTGCTGCCTGGCTGTCCGCTTTGGGATCTGCTGGTCACATCGCAGGAGCATCTTAGGACAGGCAGAAAGATAAGCATGCACCAGCACTATGGCTTGAGGCCCTGACCTCTGTTCCTGGCCCTGGCACTAAGCCTGGGGCAGTCCTAACACAGAGCACAGGTATATGGGCCACACAGACACCACAGCAAGCTCAGAGCCTCTCTCAGCAGCATGAATTAGCCAGTAAATAAGCTATGTAGCATCATGGAGACCTTCCCTGGGTTGGATGCAGGCAGACCGGTGGCTCTGACCCTCAAAAACGCCAAAAAGCAGAAGCAACTGAGTTATTCTTTTATTTCATTGCTTCTTAGTCCACACAGTCGGTATAAAATCAGAAAAGCAAAGCAGAGAAAACAAAAACGAAACAACAAACCACCCCAAAAAAAAACCAAAAAAAAACAAAATTAAACAAAACACAACAGCAACACGGTGTCTGGAGTCCTCAGGAGGCAGCCTGGGGTCTGTGCAGGTGCCTGTTCAATTCATGGCCAGACACATCGCTGACACACAGACAGAGGACAGACATCTCGCTCCGGCAGCAAAGACCAGCACAGGGCTCCAACCAGAGCTGTTTCTGCTCCTCTTGACCACGGGGCAGGGAAAGAAGGAACCTTGGTTATAAATGCTTTATTAAAAATAATAGTAAAAGCCAGTCTAAGTACAAAAGCAGTTATAGCTCATTTATATTACACAGAATTATTTCTCATTTCTAGCTTTCTTGTTTACCTCAAGATTGTTAACTGAATTTCCAGTGAATAAGGTTAAATGGCTAGCAGTATAAGGAATGGTAAATAGATAGCACCATGTCATATATCTGGTATTTGATTTCATAGATATACTACTGGGTTTGCCTCTTTCTCATCGGTAGCTTAGCTCCACGGCAAGGATAAAGCACGTTTCATGGTCGGGAGCATCACTGCCCCAGTGCTTGGCTCGGCACACACCCCAGCCCCACTGGCACAGGGGACACCCCTAAAGCTGGCCCGGGCGAAGGAGGACAGCCCGTGCTGGTATGCAATTCAACCTAAGTGATTTAAAAGCCCAAATTCCCAGCGGGTGTGGAGGAAAGGCAACGGGATTTAGGCACATAAGTCATTTAGGCACTTGGGGCAAATCAAAGCCTTTGCTCTGAAATCCTTCAAACCTTTCGGAAGCATCTCCCGTCAGATCTGGACGTGCACTTGGTTACCAGGATCACAGCATGTGGCAGGAGTGGGGACCGACCCCTTGGCTGGCGTAAACAGGCGTAGCTCCGATTTATGCCGGCCTATAAACCACTCAGAGCTGGGGTTTTCTGATGGTTCAATAGGGGCTGGGATGGGGAAAGGAGAGCTCAGGTCAAAGAGGATTTTGCATGAGAGAGAAAAAAAATCACTGCGCTCTTGTTACACTGTTAGGAGTAATAGTTCCTTAGGCACTTGCTTTAGGCTTTAAAACATAGCGTAGGGTCAACAAAAGCAAACAATACTATGTACATATATGTAAAAAGTGTTATAAATAGGTTTTTTAAACCATAGATACTATATACATCTTCAATTAACAAGTAACCCTTTGAGTGTTTCCTTGGGGGGCCGGTTGGGTTTGGTTGTGGTGGGAGGGTTTATTCCTTTTCTTGGTTGGTTAATTTGCTTTTCCGTTTTCTCGTCTCTTTTCCCCCGCCTCCGTCTCCTCCGTGGACATCATGAGTGCCCCTTGTCACGCCAGGCCTCCTCCCGCAGCATCACTCCCGCTTCCGTAGGATGACGTAGATGATGCCGCTGGCCAGAGCCAAGGGGAAGGCCAGCCACGCCAGGATATAGGCAAAGCCGTAGGAGGTGTTTTCCGAGGCTTGGTGCCAGTCCGTGTGCCTCACTGTGAAGATGGCAGCGCCGCTCATCACGCAGAGCCCTGCCAGGGAAGCACAGAGGAGGTTTAGGCTGGATAAGAGGAACAGCTTCATCACTAAGAAGGTGATTGGGCATTGGAACAGGCTGCCCAGGGAATGATGGAATCACTGTCCCTGGAAGTGGTCACAAACCGTGTAGACAAGGCTCTTAGTGACACGGCTTAGCGCTGGGGAATGGTTGGACTTGATGAACTTAAAGGTCTTTTCCGACCTAGATGATCCTATGATATAGAAATGACACCATTCAAGGAGCAGTTCCCTGCTGGAAAACCAGAGCTGGAGAGGATAGTACCCAGTGCCAGCATGGGAACCGTTCTTATTATTGCCCTTCTGTATCCTGTCTCCTGGAAAACTATGGTATGATTTTGGGAGGTGACGCTGTGGGTTCTGCTCTGGCTGCTCTGCTCTGCTAAGCTCAGCAAGCAAACCAGAGCCCCTAGAGCAAGCAAAGTTGGAGCATCGCTGGGGATAACCCATTCCTCAAGCAAGAACCAGCAGCCCCCAGCTCTGTGCTGCTGCTCTGGACCAGCCCCACTCCCCTGGGTGGCTTGTTTAAAATGCAGACTGTATCCTGAACCACCCTACCAGAGGTGCTGTGAGAGCTCAGGCACAAACCCTGTTGGTTTTCCTAAAACACAAAAGTTTCTTTACCACCTCCCCAGTCAAACAGAGCTGGGGCTGAGGATGCCCTGGCCAGGCAGGATTTGTGCGCCCTGCAATCCCCTGTCCTCCTCCAGGGCTGCATGAGGAGCTCAACTGCAAACCCTGCTCTCTACAAGCCCCACAAGCCAGTGGCTCATCCCTGGATCCTGGCATCCATCCTCATGAATCAGCCACCAGCACAGGTCCCCGAGGGCTCTCCGGCCAGGCCCAGCTCCGGTAGGCAGCATTAAAGCTTTGTTGCAAAATCAACCCATCAGCACTGGGGACTGCCCAGAGCTAACACAAAGCCACCTCTATTTCTGCCCGAAAACAAGCTCTTTCAGTCAATCCCAGCAGTTCTATTATACAGTCGTGGGGCTGTTGTCAGAGACGAGTTCCAAATCCCCTGCACAGACCTTGGGACCACCTACATGTAACCACCGTGATATTTGAGCTGTAATTCCACTTGACACTGCTCCTTTGTTCTGGGAAAGTGCAGGAGTGGGACTAGGCTTCATTAACGCGCCGCTGGTGCAGTTTCCATTCTCTGAGCACGAGAGCCAACTCCCACTGCCCCAGCCCATGCACAGAGAGCACAGCAATTGTCTGCCCATGGTGGTGGGACAGGGGACAGGCGTGCGGCCACACTGCTCACCTACAGACAGTGGAAAATACAGCGGCAATTGTCCCCATGAGGAATTTGGCAGCATGGAGGCAATGGTTACCCCATAGGGACAGCAGCTTTAGGGTGGGAGAGATGAGAGAAAAGGGATTAAAGTGATGCTGAGGGTAGAGAGAGCAATGAGCAAAATGGGTCAAACCTGGAGAAGGCCAAACCAACATCCCTCCCATGGTGGGCTTACACAGCTGTAAGAAGTTACCCATGGATATGATGGATCCAAGAAGGATGGAGGGGAGTTATCAGGGGTTTTATGATGCCTCTGTGATAGCTGAAGTCCTATCAGAGCAAACTGAGCTAGACTTCAGGGCCTGTTACCAAGCACTGTGGAGAAGGTGCTGGGGATGCATCCTGCCACTGCACAACAGACCTGACTGACCTCATGTATCCCTTCTTGCCCTTTCTTCCACGACCCAGATCCCCTCAGCCACGGCTGAAGTCACAGCACAGCTCCTACCCTCCTCCCTGGCTCTCAGACCACCACTGCCTGGCTCTGCCACCCAACAGCACCCAGTGGTCCTGCCCCTGGCACCCACTGGTTCAGGTCCAGCACTGCTGTTGGTCAGGCTCCAAAACTGGAGACCCTCGGCTTTGCCTGTACCATCACGGGGTGATGGAAAGCTCCAGGATGAGCCCACTCAGAGGAGGGAGGTCCTCTGCAGCTCTGCTGGAGCCGAGAGCAAAGCACTCAAGTGGGCAAGACCCTGTCCCTGGCAGACCTGTACCAGGGCATCGCCGGGCCAGGGCTTTGCAAGGCATGGATTAACACCTCCAAAGCCTGAAGGCTGCAGGAATTTCCTCTGTTGGCTTTAGATAGCCATGGTCTTCTATAGCAAGCTGCAAGGAGACCCCATCAGGTTCAGTTCCTTTGACTGGAACGGTCTCTACCTCCAGGTGGGATCACCCAGCAGCGCTGGCACCATGTCCTGTGTCCCACCAACAACCCACAAGTTTAGGGTCACAAAGACCACAGCTTCCCTGAGCCCCCTCCTCCAGCCACGGCTGAGGAGAACAGTGAGGATGGTCACCAGTGCCCATGGCTGCATGGTCCATCAGGACCAAGAACTCTGCCTACAGGTGCCCCAGGCCATGAGGAAGTCTCATGGAGACCAGGTCACACTCTGGAGAGGGACTTTACAAAGGCATGTAGTGATGGGACAAGGGGAAATGACTTAAAGTGACAGATGGGAGATTTAGGTTAGATCTTAGGCAGAAGCTCTTCCCTGTGAGGGTGCTGAGGCGCTGGCACAGGGTGCCCAGAGAAGCTGTGGCTGCCCCATCCCTGGCAGTGTTCAAGGGCAGGTTGGACACAGGGGCTTGGAACAACGTGGGCTAGTGGAAGGTGTCCCTACCTATGGCAGGGGGTTGGGACTGGGTAAGCTTTAAGGTCCCTTCCAATGCAAACCATTGTATGATTCTCTAAATCCCATTTTCTCTTCCTCCAAGAATGAGGTTTCACCAATTCAAGAGAGCAAAGCCTTCTGCTCCCACATCTATTAGACAAGCTCTCAAGCACATAATTGCATTATTAATGCCCATTTCCCATCCTTGTCTCCATGGCTATAATGGGTTTCTACACATCTGTCTTTCCAGAGATGAACTGATCTGAACTCATCACCTGCATTATGGCCAAGCAGACACACTCCTAACAGATTTCATGCCACTTGTGCCAATAAAGGTTAGCTCTGAACTTCTGAGGTTTGTGAAGGCCAGGTCACCTGGAGGATGCTCAGGAACTGTCTAAATTCAATGGGTAAGATTTCCACTGATGGCCTAGAGCAGCTTTTACTCTAACACCTGAAGCTCTAGTCACTGATCTAGACAGCCCGTCATCCTTTAGCCAGAATCACATTGCACAATAGTTTTCCTAGTCTCAATGCTTGAAAATCCTCCCCACTGGTTTCATATGTGGAAACATTAACGGAGCCAGTGGTGTTACAGCATCTATATTTGGAGGACTGCAACGCAGGACATAACTACGGCTCATTTCCAGCACTGAGTCCTTGAAGAGTTAAAAATAGAGGCTGACAGTTCAAAGCCAGCCTCTCACCCCGCACGCTCCAGTGGCTCTCTGCTGATGTGGAAAGCACCAGCCCCCTGTACGGCAAGTTATAAATAATCATCGGGTCCTCTTTCACCAGGAGAGGATGCTCACTGCTCCCCACCACAACCGCAGTTGGGAAACCTCACCCAGCCCAGCAAAGGTGGATCCCAGCACCAGAACAGCCACCCTGGCCCCTCAGCACCCCATCCCAAGGCTTCCCATTCCCTTCCCATGGGAAGAGGAGGCAGAGCCCTCAGTCCAGCAAGCCCTGATTGCCCCACAGCCCTGGCTCTGGTGGGTCCCAGCACCCTGCCCCTCCAGAACTTCCCCAGCTGGGTCAGCAATCCTCTAGCATTTCCCATGATACCAGGGAAGAAGGGCTTGGATGCATAACACCCTGAGAGACAGATCCCATCCCAGGGCATGCAAGACCTCCACAGACCCATGTTATCCATCCCCTATTCCCTTCATTAAGCCACACAGGAGCCATCTCCATGATGCTCCTGCTTTGGTACCCAAGAACATGCTCATTTCCACCATCGCCCTCTCTGCTTGAAAGCCCTTTCCCCACCGGTGACAGCCCCATGGATCAGCCCCCACTTACCAGCAAGGATTTGGAAGATTCCAGTAACGTAAAACCGCCCGCCTTTGGTGAGGGTGAAGAGCTGGCAAAAGAACAGGAACAGGGACAAGACGCTGAAGATGATGGAGAGGATCATCATCGCTTGGACAGACTGCAGCCATTCTGGGGAGAGACAGAAACCTCAGTGCGGGCACCACAGGTGGCAAGCCCCCACCGCAGCCCATGCCCTTGGCATCATTCCCCATGCCACCATCCCACCCCGGGGTCCCATGAAGTTTCTTATCAGCTGGGAGATGATCCAGTGCTGCATCAGTTAGTGAGGTCCTCAGCACGGGCATGATGCTGCCTGGGATTTAGAAGGATGTGTGCATGGGCCAGAGTGCTGGGATAAAACGAATTGCAGGGCTATGCTCTATTCTCATAACCAAACAGGAGCAGAGATCCCAACCCTGACCTGAAGCCTGCAGCAACCAAGACAAAGCCTCTCCCTCAGCTTCACGTCAGTTCAGCTGCATTAGAAACACACAAGCCATGTGCAACAAGCCATGAGACACAGAGCGGGCCAAGCTGCGAGCTAAATAAATACACAGGGAGTGAAAACACGCTCTGCCCTTGCGGAGTCAAACCTCTGAGAGCCTTCCCCAGCTGCCAAAGAGCAGCTCAACCAGCCCCGGCGTGAGTCACTGCCCAGCTATTTCCAGGCTCTGTGGGTGTGGAACACCCCTAGTAAAAATAAGATAAATAAGCAAGCAAAATGCTGCTCCATCCCCTGAGCTGCTGCAGCGGGACACGAGGAGGCAGCGCCTTGCAGCGCTGGGATGGGCCATGCTCACAAATGCCTCTGCCTTTCCCTTGCCTTTGAAAGTCCGGGATGAAAACGGGGATTTGCAGCCTTCCTGGAGAGGTCTTTAAGGATGCAACAGGGATTAATTCAGCAAGAAACCAGGTGGGATGTGGTACAGGTAAATTGAGGCACAAAGCACTCGGTGAAAGGCAGGGAAATCGTGCTTTGGGCTGGATCCTCAGACGGGGAGAATCAGGCAGCATTAAAGTCCCTGTCCCACATTCCTGCCACATTCTTACTCCCACCAGCTTCATTTCCCAGCTGCACACTGCAAGAACCACTGGCTTTCTATAGCACAGAGCTGAAACCCAACAAATCTTCCAACTAAAGGTATCCTTCAGCTTAACAACTTTCAGTACTTGATGAAGAGAACTAAGCCATTTGGGACTGCCCAGAGCAGCGCCTGCTCCCAGAGAACCGGTCACACTTCCCACCGCATCCTCACAAGCTGCACTCATGGAGGTGAGAGCAGAAGTGGAAACAGACAGTGAGGTACAGCCTCCAGCTCAGCCTTTCCAGCAAATCCATGCCTGCAGGGAACTTCCTGTGCAATTTAGTCACGTCTGGTGTGTTTGGCTGCGGACCATCAAGTCTACCTCTCGTCTTTGCATCTTGCCTCTGGACGTTCATGCAACGGAGCTGAATTCACTCACCAAAGTAGACTGAAACGACCCAGAGCAGCCTCTGCTCCTTGAGACAGCTTTTTCCTTCCCCTCCTTTTCCCACCTCCCATGCCAAACTACCCTGCAGCATTAACAGGTCCTGCTAAAAACCTGCTGCACTTCACTCATTTCAGTGCTGCTGAGTTTCCATCCATGCGCACCAGTTGCTGCCACTCCTTAGCAAGGAGTGGCTATCACTGCTGCCACTTCCAGGAGATCCCAGTGTGGTTTTCACACTGATGGGCACACAAAATGTCCCATCTCTCTCTGCTAGCCAAGCAGGAAAACCCTCCGCCTCAACCACACCTGACTTGAGCACTGGCCACACTCAAGCAGGGAGGATGAAACAGCTCAAGTGCTGCTAAAAACCAGGTCATAAATCATTGCTCAGATGGGATTGGGGCAATACAATCACACAATGTCCAGCTGCTGAACTACAATCTCCTTCCACACTTCAGCACAGAAAGGGCTCCCATCCCAAGTCTGGGAAGCTGAGCTTTCATCTCACCCCATCCCAAGCCCTAAAGCCATGTCCAGCTCCATGCACCGGCTGAGCCAAAGCCTGCCCAGCCCCAAGCCCTATAGTTTGGTCCAGGACCCAGGAAGCCAAATCCTTTGTGATTCCAAAGGCCACAGGATGCAGCCTGGAGGGGAGCCCTTTCTGCTCGGAGGTGGATGCTCCAACTGCCGGTTATTTTAGGAGAAGCCTGTCTAGACGGAAAGCTGAGCTGAGCTGCCCTTTTAATTGCATCCGCCTCCCCATGCCTCTTCTTTGGTTCTGAATGCAAATGATTTATCCAGGCTCTGCAAAATCCCATTGTAATAAAGAGCAGTGTCAGAGGAATATAAAGGCAGGCACTGAGAGGGAGGGAAGAGCTCACCGTGACCGGAGGGCTTTCGGCAAGCAGCCACGCGAGCAGGGCAATCCAGAGACGATCCCATAGACCAGAGAGTCCCTGCTCACATCCAGCCCTTTGCTTACTTCTATTGGCCTCCTATGCAAACACAAGGGGCAGGATCCCCACCTCGTAACTCAGAGACCCATAAGCACAAGCTGCCATACTCCCATTAAACCCAAGCCCAGCTGCTCAAAGCTAACACCCTTTCCAACCCTATTAGCTTTCCAATAGCTTTCCAACCCTAACTATTCTATGATTCTAATACAGACTTCAGCTGTATTAGCTAATTGCCTTTAATTCATTTGAGAACTATAACTGCAGATAGGCTTGGTGCATCCTCAACCTCACGTGCTTTTAACTCCTTTGCTATTAGTACTGTGTCCTGCCTAAAGGCTTCTTCCCTTCCCACAGGGAGGTGTGGGCCCTGTGAGCTGTACCATGGGGCTGTCAGCACTGTTTACTCCTGGGCTGTTATTTGTGGTTTCCCCTGGGCAGTGTGTCAGTTGTCCCATTTTTCTCCTGCATCTCTTCTGCTCTGTATTTATATCTTTGCTCTTCAGGAGGAAGAAGAAAAGGAAGCGGAGTGGAAAGGACAGATAACACCCTGCATGCTGCTTCCGGAGAGGACCCGTAGGGAGTGTTCTTAGAGCCCTTCCAGGCCGTTAGAAACAAAGAAAGATGCCTTTACAAAACAAACTTGACATTTTCCCTAAACTCTGCAAGCCCCAATGGGCTCACGCCACCACTTGTAACAGCAGAGAAAAGCCTTCAGCCCTGGGATGCCCAGCCCCACATTTCATGGCCCTGAAGTCTAACACAAAAGAAAGAAACCTGGAGCAGAAACTGAAACTTGGAGCAGAAACTGCAGCTGAACACCCCCCAATGACAGTAGCTAACCCAAGCCCTTCCAGCAAAGCCCCAGCCCTGCTTGCAAGGATGTTTTATACCAGGACAAGGGATACAGCTGAGCAGACATTGGCTCCCCACTGTTTAATTCACTGCTCTGTCATTGAGACCCTATCTTCTTTTGGCCCAAGCCAAGGAGAATGAATGAAGTATTAACTGAAAAGAAACTTCATTGAGCAACTGGACTATAGACTCAGTGTAAGACACCATAAATTAGTGCTGCGCATCAAAAACACCTCTGTGCTGCGACCTGCAGCTGACAGTAACATTCTGCACGTGTAGCTTTCCCTTTGCAAACCACATGAGTGTACGCTTCAAAAGCAACCACTTCTTTGGAAGAAAACATCCACTAAGCAGGTAATTGCAGTATGTAATATACATAGAACAAGAGGGAGGGGAAATTCGTGCATGGTAAAACCTGCTCCTTTGATACTGCCTGCTAAATATTAGCAGGGTCAGGAACAGCACAACATCTGCTGGTACAAAGGTACCAGAACAGGTCTGCCAGGGAGAGCCATGGGTTCTGAGCAGGGCTGTTCCAAAGGAGACTCTTGGGCTTCAAGGTGTGATCAAGAACCTGACTATAGCATCCTCACCTATGAAGTGGACAGGTCACATCGTAAGTGCTGGAGCTTGCAAGTTTTAAACCTTGATATTCAAACACCCCTTGAGAGGGCTGGAAAAGGGTGAACTGAAGGTGCAGCAATATTAGCTCAATCACATCATTCGCCTGGGGCTCAGCTTCAGACCACTGCCCCTTGGCAACTCGCTGCAGCAATTCAAAGGCAAACCAGCTCAGCTACCTGCAGTGTTATTCCTGGCAGCACAGACCCCACCACCGCCACCCACATTCCCATTGCTTGAAGTGAACATCTCTCCTGTTGGGGAGAACAGCATCACAGTTCATCAGCCACATCCAGCAGAGCTGCTAAGCTCTCCTTTGGAAAATCCAGCTCCATGACATCGCAACTTCCTTCTGCTTTGGTCCCAGACCTCCCACCAGCATGAAGTCAAACCTTCCCCAGCTGCATTCCAAGCTGCTGGAAACTTGAGCCAGGAAAAGCAGGTTTTACACCCAGTGGTTGCTGCTTTCCTTTTCTATGTCCACTCCCTGGAGAAGACCACAGAGTGCTGTTGGATTGAGGTATTCCTGGAAATCCCACGGGAAAAGGGGGATTTCAAAGAGCTCCCAAGGTGTTTGTAATGGCCAGGGGATGAGCACGTGGGAAACACTGAGGCTGCAGGGAGGCTGTGAATGAATGCAGTGCTGCAGCTCCTGCACAAGACTTCTGGTCCTCTTCTGTAACTCCTTCAGGAGATGAAGCCCTCACAGCCCTCTTGTGTCCTCTTTTCCTCTCAGCTGTCCTCCCTCTTGCCTTCTCCTTGAAGCTCCCTTTAAGAAGTCCCTGAGGCCAGAAGGTCCGTAGCTCTCCAAAGCTGCACATTCGGATGCTCCATCAGACCATTGGAGCTCACATCCCACAGAGGCAACCTCTGATGCTGCCAAGGCAGCAGAAAGCTGCTGGCACCATGAAAAACACTTTCCATCAGCTCCACCATGCCCAAGGCAGCTCCTCGCCAACACCCTCAGCACAGTGGCTCCTTTTGGCTTGTGCATCAGAGCGAGCTGAGATGGTAGATACATCATTTCAGGCTCAGGTCCTCCAAAGGGCTTAGGTACCACCTCCCAGTGACTTCAAGTCCAGGCACCAGGAGCAGGGATGGGGAGCGGTGGTGCCCTGGCACATTGCAGGGGTATACCCAGCCTGTGGCCACCAGGACATCCAAGAGTCTCAGCAAGGCCAAAATCAGTGTTGGTTTAAGGGTTTTCCAGTGCTGCACTCTGTAGCGGATTCCCCCATCCATCCTTCTGGCTTTGCAGTCATTGCTTGCCCACATGTTGCCTTCTTCCTCCCTTTTTACTCCTCTTCTATGGACCAAAGCTCCCCACCCAGCAGGGGAGGCTGCCTGACCCCCTGTATGCAGAACAGCGGGAGCTATATTGCTCTGGAGCAGCTGAGAGAAACACAGCAGTAGTTCCCTACCTCTCCTTATCAGATGCTCTTTGTAAGAGGAAAAAGCAACAATAAAAACCTGGGTTTAAACAGAGGAAATCCCTTTCATGTCATAGGCAATACAGTAATGGGAGAAACTGATCTGAAACACAGCAAGTTAAATGCCACCTCTATCTCTCCAAACCTTTTCTATGTCATTCGGGTCCAGCATTGCTGGAAGAAAGAGTCTGAAAGAATAAGGGCAGCAAAGCCACTCTGGGGGCACTGACAGAGCAGAAGCAATGGGTTCAGGTGTTTCAGTTATGCATTTTAAAGCGGAGAGGAAGCAGTGCAATTCCTGCAGGGAACAGATGATGGATCAGGGCACAGATGCTGCTGCCTCATGCCAAGGAGGAAGAACTCTCCTGCCTCCTCCAGAAACCAAGAAATGGATTTCAAGCACCAGTAGCACTGCTTGGGGTCCCACCTGCCAGAGCAAAGATGCTCTGGAAGAGGGAGAAACAGTGTGCAGAGAGCAGGGCAATCCTCTCGTGCCTACCCCATCAATGGGAGATCCATCCCTGTCTCCCCAGGCAGTGCAGGACACATCTCTGCTTTGGGCAACTCACCTGGGCTTTGCTTGTGGCCATCACCCCAGCAAATTAACAGGTTCATCACACAGCCACAGCGCTTAGTAACCATGTGGATTGGCAGCCTGAGCATTTCCCAAGCTTTAGGGCTTTCTTTTCCCTTTAAAAAGCCCCAAACCATCAGTCTGCCTGTAAACAAGCTGGTCAGGAGAAAGCCAAAGGGCAGTGACAGGAGAAACTGTAAGAAGACAACAGGAAAAACATCTCCTGACATTACAGAAGGATGAAGGGATCCCCACAGAGGTTCCCATTGCTTCCCCACCAAAATCACAGGAAGAGCAGTACAAAGCAGCAGGGAAAAATTCTTGCCTGCATGAAAAAATTCATTTGTGGACAGAAAAGGCCATTTTTAGAGGAAAAATAAAAAAATCACTGTCTGGAAATTCGGGGTGGAATCTGCTCCAAAGCACTGGAGCGGCTCAGGTCCGGCCGCGTGCCCCGTGTCGCAGCGGGCTCACACAGCTGGGGGCTGGCACACGGCCCTCCCGACGCACAATCCCGGGATTCAGAGCTGGATTCTTCAGATAAGTCTTTTCCAGGAATGTCTGACAGCGCAACCGGAGCAACGATTGCAACATTTTTTCCATAGTTCTCGGCCTCTTGGGGGAAAAAAAAGGCATTATCTAACAGGCAAAGGCAGAAATCAAAGCAACAAGCAGGCAGTTGTGAAAGGCGAAGAAGTGGGCAGTGGCCCCCGACCTGGTGTTTCCTCCTCCTTCCCTTTGCTCACACCCCGCCGGAGTGCTCAGCCCAGAGCGGGATCAAGCCCTGCCAAGAGGAATTTGGGAGGTGGGAGCTGAGACCGGCTCCGCCCTGTACCCACGGTCAGCTAATGTCCCGGGAATGGCATTCCTGCAGGCAACCCTTGGGCTGTTTTGCTGCTTATTCCATTCCCATGGGATAATCTGCGAGGTCAGGAGTACAATCCCAAACCTGCCCGTGTTCAATACAAGCAAATCTCGTGTTTTATCACTGGGATATGGGTTTAGCCAGTTCAGCTTCTCATTGGGCATCCTCATGACGGTCACCTCAATAAAAGGGTCTCTGTGGCAGCAGAGTGAGAGGAAGCTCATCCATCATCTGAGACCAAGGGGAACATATCACAGCACCACAAACCCATCCATCCTCATGCTGCTGAGACCAAGGGGAGCATCAGCACCACAAACCCCTCAAAGCCCTCACACATCCCGAACACACAAGACCCAGCCCTACCAAATTCCACATATTCCAAGCACCACTTCTCTTCAAAGAGAGAGGAAGAAATAACAGCACTACCGCTGCCACTGCAATGACCAGAAGACAAACTGCCTCTATGTAAAGACCAAGTTCAGCCAAAACATCCCAAGGAGGATTTCTTGCTCTTAGCCTGCAGCAGACCTTGGCACTCTGTGTTTAACCATTAAGTACTGTCCTTGGCTCTGGTACAGAGGAACAAATTCCTATTGTTTTCTACAACCCAGTGTAGCAAAACACAGCCTGTGTTTTGGATGAGGTTTAAAAGAGAACGGTTTGTGGGATTTGCTATAGGATGTTTCATGTTTTTGAAAGTAAGCATATTCCCAGCAAACAGCATAGTAAGGATGAGGCAGGGGACAAGCGTGAGCCTTGGAGGTGGCTCTTTCGCAGCATCCTTGCCCCATGTACTTGCTCAGATACAGCCTGACTGCAGTGGACTTGGCAGCCCAGAGGTGATGGGAGCAAGAGGGTTGGAGATGGGAAGTGGGGAGGGATGGTGATGGGATCCACAGGAAGTGATGCTGGGTTGCATTTCTACTCTACGTTTACAAATAGATTGTAAAGGCCTTGCATAAGCCTAGGAAATACCTTTTGATTTTGTGTTCCTATAGCACCAGTGAGCTCTGCATCCCACACCCAGAGTCCCACCATGTGGAGGCTGGTCCTCAGCAGCACTGGGGATGCTTTCACATCCCTGCTGTGGGATGGATGGAGCACAAGCTTTTGCCCAAGCAAAACCCCCTTCTGATGCTAGAACAGAGCCTTCACAGTAATCAGAGCTGTCAGAGAGCTCTTTAAGACCTGAGCACAACATGTCACTGCAGCACCTTATCAACCAAACTAAGCTGCTTGACTGCATTAGGCAGGGTCATCTTGACTATAGTCCCCTTCATGATAAATAAGGATCCAGAGGGAAGCCCCTCTTTGAGGAGCTTCTGGAAACATAGGAATACAGACTCACAACACCCAGCAGGACAGTCAGACGTGGAGGAAACCACCCCAACCACATGTTGACACTGACAGCTCCTGGACACACAGCATCCTGTAAACACCCAGAAACAGCGGTGCAGGTTTGAAAAGCCAAAGATCTGGAGAGGCTTTAGAGCCCTCTGGGGTGCAATCGCTGCCTTTCATTCCAAAGCGCAAGCTCAGCAGACTTGGCGCACGCACGAACGGCTGTGAAGCAGCCTGCCTACGCTGCAGATAGCCAGCAACTGCTGATGAAGGACACGGCTCCAGAAGGCTCCTCGGCTGGGATGGGATCCAGCCAGCTCCTGCCCAGCCTGGACACCACCAGGCGTCAGCAGAGACCCGCGGTGAAAGCTTTGCTCCCACCGAAAACCAAAGCCTGGGTCCAAGCAGGGACACATGGCGCTGCTCATAGCCCAGGGAAGAGGGAGAGTGAGCACCAGCATCCACCTCCCTGAGTGGGGTGCTCCGCTCCCAACAGGCTGGGGATGAGGGGCACATAAGACTCCAGAAGCCTCCAACAGTCTCCCATTGCTTCTAGACCCTTTGTCAGCATTTAGTGCTCTCAGTGTGACCATTCCCTCCTTGCCAAGACCACGTGGCATCGGTTTGCGCCCATGCCAGGACCGTGTTTCCAGCACAGTGTGACTGTGCTCCCAGTGATAGGCGTGTGATTCACAGTGGGTTTCACTGGGGTTACACTGGGAGAATCTGATCCATAGGGAAGCCAAACCCAGGCTAACTGAGAACAAATGGACACAGCACCACTGGCAATAGGCCTGTCCTCTGGGGAAACTGAGGCACGGGCTTGCCTGACTCCCTGAGCACAGATTTCTTGTTACTGGTGCCACTGGGTGCCCTGGACACTCTGTGTCACAGTGTCTTAGGAAGCAGCCCTCCCCTGCTGACCTCAGCAAACAGCCTGATGGGTGATGACACATCAGCCTTCACCCAGCTTGGTCCAGAGCTGGAGTTCATCCGCTCCAGATGTGCAGGTGCCATAGGGCTCTTTCACCAGTGGGATGAAGGGCTTGAGCACTCAGCATATCCAACACATAGTATGTGACAGCAACCCACAGGGTGAGGATTGTGCCCAAGAACTCAGGAGGTCACAGCAGCCAAAAGCATGGCAGGCAGGGACAGGCTGTACTTGAGGCACCATGTGCATCTTTAAAACACCCTCGCTACCAGAGCATGAAGGAAGCATGCCGAAAATGGTCTCTCTGCTCCCAGCACGGTGATGATCACCTTGTACATCCAACTGCAATCAATATGGGCTAATAATGGGAGACTACTCAAAAGGGCTCAAGTCATATCCACCCTGCCAGGGGCTGCCCCACAGCTTTAGGGCAGCAGGACAGAGTGATGGACACTGGGTCTGGTACCCCCGCCAAACCCCATTGCAACTTCAGAGACTGATAAGGCTGGGGGGAGCCACTATGTGTCCCCCTACCAGGACACCAGGACCATGGTGGAGCTCTGCCCCTCCATCTGGGAACAGCGCAGAGAAGGCAAGGGACAAGGTGGGATGGAACAACTTCAGGAGGGTGCAGGGAAAAGCAAGAGGCACTCACAGCAAACCTGCACAGGCAAATCCCCCTTGATTCCGTAACTCTGGGGAGGAGAGTAACGCAACAGGCAGCAACATCCCTGATGGCAGGGAGCACTCACCGTTCGTGGATGAGGTCAGGCAGTGGAAGATGGTACCAGAGGTGCAGTTCTGCCAGAGGTCCGCTGTGTGCCCGCCATTCACCAGCCATTGCTGCAAGAGAGACACAGCCCTGTGAGCATCACCTAGGCAGGAAGCAGCCTGGCCCCCCCAAAGGCTTCAACACTGGCACGTGTGTGCCCGGCCAGGCACTCCCAGGCACATGCTCTTCTTTAGGAAGGGGTTTGGAAAGTACATCCTGATATTTGCTTTTAGCTGCTTTCGCCTCAACGGTGCTAAAACAGAAGCTCTTTATTCTCTTTAAACATGGATTAAATCCCAGGGGAACACGCACTTCCCTCCCCTCCTCTCTGCCATCCTCACCCGGAGCCTGGCCGGGTTATTTGAATGTTTCCACGTGATTTCCAACAACTTGGAAGATTCTTGTAACAGCTCCTACTGCTGTTAGCACCACCCCAAAGGGAAAAGAAAATACAGGGAAAAATGGACCCCATGAAGCGAGTCTGGAACTCACCAGCTCCACAAAACTGATGCCTTAAAACCAAGTCAACCCCCTTCCTAAGCAGATGACGTGGTAACTGGGCTCTAGACCCAGAACAGTGCCGGGAGCTCCCTGGGCAGCATCTAGCCCTCAATCTTCTACTCATGCAAAGCTTAAGCCTTGAAAATCACCAGCAGGAGCTCATCTGGGTTAGGAAACAGAGGCTGTGCCTAATTCACAGCCTCAAAGGAGCAGAGCTGGGGGCAAACCCGCTGGTGCTGAGAAGCCTGAGCCAAAACCACCCTATTTCAAAGGGTTTTGCTCAGACTGGCTGCACTGGTGCTGTGACTGAAGCCCATTAGCAGGTGGAATGCCTGTATGTAAGGGGAGCAAAGCATCACCCCCATGAAACACAGTTTGGGTGCTCCAAAGCTGCTCCTGAGTGGGAGTGATGAGGAGATGGGCTTCAAGAGCATTCTCCTCTGTACTAACATAGGTGCCCTGAGCACCCGCTGTGGCACACATCTGACAGCACAAATGTCCCAAAATCTCACTGTTAGACCAGCAATGGGCTAGTAAAGGTTTCCTGCTAAAAGCCAGCTGTAAAAGAACCCACAAATGCAAATAACACCTCCTGGCCATGCCATGCCCCCAACAGCCACTCCCTGCCTTGCCGGTACCCTGGTGCCAAAGGAAAGTCCGTACTTACACTAACGATGGTGGAGACGAAGAGGAGCACCAGCACGGTGACGTGGAGCACGATGATCCCCAGCAGTAAAAGCAGCATCTTGGCGGTGTCGGGGGACAGAACTGGAGGGGCACAGGGATGATGCTGAGTGTGTGTGTCTGTACCCAGCCCGGCCCCGGGGGGCGGCAGGAGGCGCTCCGCCGATAGCAGGAGCCGGCCTGGCTCCGGGGGATGCCTGGGCAGCGCCCAGCTCCCTTTGCCCAGCCCCACTGCCGGATACCCCCGAGGGGGCCCCCCAAGCCCTATCACCGAGACGGGGCTTCCCCGGCCCGTCTCCCTTGGGGACCCCCAGGAGGGGGATGTCCCCCCTAGGGGGCTCCTATCCCTCTCCCCAAGGGGGTGTGCTCCTCGGCACCCCTAATGGGAGGGGTCTGCCTCGGCGCATCTCAGCCCAGTTCCTTTGCCGACGGACCCAGGAGACCACCGGGGGTGATTCTCCCGAGCCCCTCCTCAGGGGAGGCTTTCCCCTGCTCATCGGCGCTGGCGAATCCCGAGGAGCGGGGTAATGAGGGGGGCACATCCACCTCGCCCCGTTTCACCCGACGGGGCTACCTAGGCCCCCCTTCTCCTCGGCCCATGTCCCCTCAGCACTCCCAGCAAAGCGCATCTTAGCCCGTCTCCCCTCGGGACCGTCGGACAGGAGGAAAGCGGGGCTGCCCTCAACCCTCTCCCCACCGGACCCCAGAGAGGGGAGGCTCCCGCGGTCCCTCTCCCCTGTGCACCCCGGAGGATGTCTGCGGGTACCCCCAGCCCCGTTAAGCGGCGCGGGGCGGCCCGTACTCACGTCGCGGCGGAGCCGAGCAGCGCTGGGCAGCGGGCGCGGAGCGGAGCGGGCGGCGGCGCTGTCAAGGTTCCCCTTTAACCGGGGCCACCGCCCCGCTTGCGTTTGAGGGACGGGGCGGGCCCAGCGCCGCGCCCGGGGCTCCTCCTATAACAGCGGCAGAGCCCGGCCCGTCGAGCTCGGGACCCTGCTGGGAGGCAGCGACCGCCCCGTCGCCATCGCCTGCACGCACGCACAGAGGGCACCCCCGCCGTGGCTGTCCCCCCACTCTTCTTCCGCACCACGACACAAAGCGGGGAGCCCCCGGCGTGGGGAGCCCCCGGCGTGGGGAGCCCCCGGCGTGGGGAGCCGCCGCTGCTCACCCAGCCCGTGGAAGGAGCGGGGCGGCGGCGGCGGCTCTGCCCCGCTCCGCTTCCCGGAGCAGCTGTGCGTGGCCGTAGGGGGGGTCCCTGCGTGTCCTGGGGTGGCCCCCGGCCCCGAGGTGCGAGGCTGCGGGAGGTCTGTGAGAGACCCTGCTCAGGGATCCGTGGGGCAGGGTTTGGGGAATGAAGTCGAGGGGACATCATCTCTGATGCGCGCAGTGAGGCTGTGGCCGGGGAAGTGACACCTTTGCGATTTGCTCCTGCTGTGGGCAGTGTGATTCTGGCCCTTGGGCTGCAGGGTTTTAGCACCTGAAAGGAACTGGGTGACTTTTTGCTAAATGGAGGGTGAGATCCTCCAGAATGCTGGCGGATGGAGGTGCCTGGGGAGGCTGCACTCGGTACAGCAGCCTTCACTCATTCCTCAATCTGATCTGTTGAAATAAACTTCCCCCAAAACTCCCAAGGACCTGCACGCTCCTGGGAGTCCTGAGCACCAGCACCAACCTCTCCATCACCTCTCGACACACCAGCTCCAAACTAGTCCTGCTTTGCTGCAGAGACGAGGGGATTCGGCATCCAGCCACTGAAACTGAATCTTGGGAGAAAAAAAGGGAGAGGAGCGTGCTTGGCTCCCTCCTCCTGGCAAGCAGAGCCTGTTCCCTCCAGCACAGGCTCTGGCTTGGCTGCTCAGCGCTTGCGTAAGTGGTCCCATCACACGTATTAGGCAGCAAGTGGGAGTTCAGAGCACTCTGGGGGCGGGAGGAGATGGGCCAGTGGCTGAAACAAGGTCCCCAGCCTCACACTGTGCTCAAGCCCCTGTTTCAGTACATGCCTGCATGTCCCATCGCAATGCCAAGCCATGTTCTAGCATGCTCTGCCTTGTGCCCAGCCTGGCTCCTCCAAAAGATGCAGTTTGTTCTCCCCTCTGAAAAACACCCACCCATTTCCCTGCTGCTGCCACCCCCCCTGCGTCACCCTGTGATGCTCCACACGCTAGTGCCATCCGTGACTGCAAGCTGCAGAGGGCTAAAACATCTGGACCAACATCAGTACATTCCTCTCTAATGAGGCTATTTCGGGCTGTCTTGCCTCTGTGGGTTGAGCGCCTGTGCTGCGTTCAGAGCAGAGGGAGCCACCACGCTCAGGGTTGTGCAGACAAGGAGTGAGAAGGGGCAGCTCCTCTGTGAATATGGGAGAGCAAAACCACCTCGGCTCCAGCTCTGAAAACTGCCAAAAGCAGCTTTTTCAGCACGGGAGAAGGATCTGAAACTCAAATCAGGAAACAAAGTAGTCTGTGGGTAATAATAAAGCCCGGTTTGGCTGAGAGCTGTAGATTAGAAACAGTGGAGGAAGCCCAGAGGGAAGAGCACATCACTCCCATGCTCCTCAGACACTTTCCCTCTTGGAAAGGTGCATTGTCCAAACAGAGCAGGGACTTGGGAAAACATGTGCTGAGCATGTGCTGGGATGGCAGCGCTGGTGCTGGGGATCTGTGCTGATCCAGGGAGCACAGTGAGTTCACATGGAGCTCGTCTCTGTGCCTTCCATCAGGTGGAGGTGATGGATGGCCACTGGCCAAGCCATAAGGTGAGAAAGTGGGGACATGCACAGCAAAGCCTTTGAGGAACTGCTGGAGAGACTGCATCAGTACTGGACCTAGCATGGCCAGAGCATCGCACAGTGCTGCCCACTGAGGAGCTCAAAAGCCACCCCAGCTCCTTGTCCATCTGAGCATGGCTGGCAATGGTCATCAATGCCTAAATAAAAGCAGGTGCCACAATACATTTGAAAACTGGTTTGTGTACAAACCAGATTGGCCACAGGCTGTGCTGGGAATAGTGGAAGATTGATGGGTTGTATAAACACTGGGTAAAAACATGTGGATTTCTCACTTCGAGTCTATTCCATGGGATCACTTAAAACTTACAATGCTTCAGGTTGAACTTCTAGACTAAAATGATGAGAGTTCAGAAGGGAAAGTGGGTTTTATATTACTTTAAGGGACAGTGATGGACTTTGTGGACTGCTGAAAAGGGTCTAAGTTTCATTTCACTCCAGCTGTGGCACCATGGGCTCTGCCAGTGGTCCAGCAGACGTGTACACCAACCATTCCATTCCCCAGCCCAGGTGAACGAAACCACTCTTAAGCATTTTCAAGCTACACAAAAAGACAAGTTTTTGTCTGGGTGTCTTCTTGGGGATGAACTTGTTTAACCCCAAGATTTTGCTCTGTCATAACAATTTTAGGGCCTCGCTTCCTGTTCCCTACCCTGCTGATGAAGACCATTAGGATTTGAAATGCAAAGAGGAAGGGAGAGAAATCTGACTGCCATCAGTGAGCCCGCAGCTCATAATGGATAATGGGAGAGGAAAAATCCTGTTTCCAAACAACTGCGTAATTAGGAAAAGAAGAAGAGTAAGATAACAGTTTGAATTGTATTTTACAGAGACTTATAGTGCCCCCCATATATACATATGCCCATCTGTATATACACAAATGCACATAGAGAGAAATAACTGTCTAAATGAGTATTTCCAGCTGAAGGACTCTCTCCACCTTGAGAGCACAGCACCTGCTGGCAGCAAGTGCAGGGCTCAAAGGGCTGCCAGGGTCTTGCCCTTTCCCCAGCACACAGAGGGGCATGCACCAAGCTGGGTCTCAGCCAGGCAGGAGGCAGCTGCTGTGCCCCAAGGAAGAGGTGTCACTGCAAGGGAAATGGGTCTTTTCTCCACTGTTTGGATCAAAATGCACTGGGAGAGTGTGGGTTTTACCTTTTCTGATCGAGCCACTGGAATAGCTATCTGAAAAGCCACATCAAGCATTAAAAAACCAGGAGGGGAGGCATTTATATTGAGCAAACTTCTAAAACAAGAGGTCTAATGCATCTTGGAGACATTTACTTCCTTTTCCTGACATTTGCTTTCCACCAAACCAAGAGGAATTTACAAAACATTTTAGTCCTGTCTGCATTCATGCCCAAAACCCCACGTCATCCAACCTCTTGCTTTCAACTCCAAAGCAGCTGTCATCACTGATAGAGTCAGGCTGAAATCACTGGAGAAAATCCCACTGGCTTCAATGAAACCAAAATTTACCCACTGACTCCAAAACCCCAATGAAATCAACTGAGCTTCCCAAGTGGGACATGACTGTGTCAGAACATGTTAGATGCTTTCAGACACTGATTTGTGCTCATCTCCTGCACCCTGACAGCATATAGAAGGACACAACCCACTATGAGCTCCGGTGTTGAACCTACAAATTTAAGCCAGCTTTGAGCCACCTTTTTTGCCCAAGCTATTGAGTTTTACACCTTTGGCTGCTGCAGCCCCAGGTATGGTCCCTTTTTCAGCCTCCTCCATGGTCCCAATAGTGGCCACTGATGCTGTGAGGGTGATGGTGCTCCCTCCCCTGCAGCTCCCTGTTAAGGGACACAGTGATGCTACAAGTCTGCACGGGCTCAAAGAACTGGATCAAGACCGTGTGAAACAAATCCATGGGGGGATATTAAATCCAAGGACAGCCCTGTCAGCTCAGGAAGTCCTCGAGATACTAATTGCTGGAAGCTGGGAAAGTGGACTGGGAAAGTATCACAGAGGGCTTGCCTTGTCCTGGTGCTTTTATCTAAGCATCTCCTACTGGCTCTGTTAGAGGATGAATCCAGTGCTTGCTGGACTTTAGTTTGAGCTAGCACAGGTATTTCTATGACCCTATTTTCCTTATTTTTTTTTTCCTCAGCATTTTGCCAAAGTTTTCTCCATTTTTTCCTTTTTACTTTTTTTTCTTCCATTATAATCATGAGTTTGGGTTTTTTTTCCTGACTACTGATGCTGTTTTGGGAATTCTCTCTCCCTTGAGCATAATAATCTGCATTAGTTATGCAATATACCATTAACATGGGTTCTTGGCAAGCTTTCATTTCACCCACATTCATAACAGAGTCCTCCAGGGCATTCAGTAGTTTTTCTTTCCTTAGACAAGAAGTCTCGATAGACTGGCCTTGACTGTTCAACTGGATCCTGGACTGACATGAAGCTTAGCTTGCATGAAGCAACCCTGTCCTGGCTTTATTATTTCCTCTCCTCCAGTTAGGAAACAATCAGTTTACAAACCTGGCCCTGCAGGGCTTATTGGGATGATGCAGGAGGGTGGGAATATGGCTGTGGGATGCAAAGGAATTTCCACAAACTAACTCTCTCAGCAACTTGGCTGATAAGGGCAGCAATAAACCAGTAAAAGCAGGCACAACATTCTTCAGCCTGAGGGCATTTGAAAGAAAGGAAACATCACATCAATGTAGAAAGGCAGCTGAGACAAATGGGGGTTCTACTTACAAGTGGTCTGTGAAAGCATGTAATGGCGCAAGAGCATCTTGTGCATCAGAAGGAGGAAGGCCGGACAGGACGGTTGTTTAATGCCCCTGGTATATAACCAACCATAGAGGCTGCTCAGCTGCAACCCCAAAACCAACCCTGCAGTGACTGAATTGAGCAGTTCAGTCATGGGAGGCAAATCCATCCCTGAGCCGGAGATCCTGCCACAAGCCCCGTGTCTGTTGGAATTTCCCACAAATCCCTCTCCCTAGAGGCCCATTTTACAGTAGTTCCATGGCAGGGCTGGTTCCCATCATGGGATGTGCCCAGGACACAGTGCAAGAGGGAAAAAGAAGACTCAAACTGAAGCACATGCAGAATTAGACAATCAAAGTGCTTGGGGGGGATTTCAGAGTATCAGTTACCAGAAGATTTAACATCAATATTGTCGACTTGTGGAAAACTGGCT